TTTGTACCCAGTTAAGATGTTACTTTTAATGAATATTTCATAACTCCCAGTTAAATGGTTTTACAGTTTGTACCCAATTAAATATTTGTACAGTTTGTACTATAACTGTTCGTGTGAGTTATGAAATTTATAATTTGTGCATCCACCGGGCAATATGTTTTACAGTTTGTACCTAATTAAATATTTGTACAGTTTACACTATAATTGTTCGTGTGAGTTATGAAATTTATAATTTGCATATCCACCGTGCATCGCATGGGTGAAAGACTAGTGTGTGGTTAAACTAGGAAAAATTTTGGATTTATGTATAGAATATTTTATGTACAAATGTGATTAAAAATGAGTACGTAGAAATAGTTTGAAAATAATATTAATATCTATCAAATGAGGGTTAAAATTTGGGTTAGCCCTTTGATGTTTGCCTCCTAAAATAACCAATGGCGGGAAATCCCGTACTTTTTTTATCTCTAACCTTACCAACGTTGGGCTAAAATACAAATACAAATGCAATTGATTTCCCAGAGTTGTTTCATGGTTTAATAATTTCAAAACAATATCACAAACAAATGTGTCGTCGTCGGTGATTCGTTTTAGCTCAGTTTGAATTTCAGTCGGGTCCATGTCTCATTCTCTGTTTATGGCAAATTAGTGGGCTTTTTTATTTTCTTTTCCCATCATTGACCGACAGACTATTTAATGTACAGCTGGTGTCATATGGGCTGCTGCCAATTATCATTTTTTTTTGAGAGAATTAATTTAGAGAATTCTAAAAATGAAATGCAAACCAAACGCCTCCTTAACCATTATTGGGAATTCTTTTTGTCCTTAATTTTTATTTTGAAAGTCGAACATCTAGTTAATTTTATTTAATAATACATTTCGTAAAATACATAAATATTACCCGCTTATCTCTTAAAGAAGAAAAATTATAGCAACAAAAAATAAGACATTGGCCTAAATATATAAATGTTGTCTTACAACTAGTATTAGAAAGGATATTGAATCTAATTCAACTTAATAAAACCGACTTGTTAGGGGAGGATTGTCCTCATCTTATTAAGTGGATCGTGTAAATATCACCAGTCAATGTGAGATTCTAATACGCCCCCTCACGCACAGCGTGGAACAATTGTGAACAAATTGATATTGGGTGTACTCAACATTACAAAACTGAGTGTGCTCTGATATCATATTAGGAAGAATATTGAGTTTAACTCAACCTAACAAAATCGACTTGTTAGGGGAAGATTGCCCTCACTTTATTAATTGAATCGTGTAAATATTATCAGCCAACGTGAGATTCTAATAACTAGCATGAAATTGAAAAAATAAATAAATAAATAAAATCTATAATAATGGCGATGACAGACTTTCATAACATCTAGTGCATTTCTGGTTTGCTTGCTCGCTTGCATGCATGTGCACGCAATTATGAAGAAAATCAATCCACGGGAATGATTTGTTTAAAAATAAAAATAAATTAATAATCTAATCTAATTAATGATTTACATCTCTCAAGAAATATTTAAAGGAGAAATTGCTTAATTTTTAGGTAAGTAAACAGATTCTCATTTAATTTTTCTGACAATTGAGTTCCACTAATGTTAAATCAATGCACAAATATAAAAATTAGCATTGATTTTCAACTTTAAATTATTGTTGCGGTTATGAAAGGACGCTTCACTTCAAATTTCTGAAAATTGATTCAAATTGGGGTTCAAAATCTAACTTATATAAAATTGGACAGACGAAGGTTATGTGAAGTTTGATAGAGATCTAGATAATTACTGTAGAATGATTCTGCAACTATAATAGTAACAAAAATTTTCATTTTGAAAGGTATCCACTAGCATGAAGTGCGTTTAAAAATCTCGATGACAATCGTCGCTCTTATGAAGACTAACTTTCTATCCGTGCAACAATGTGTCGAGAATTAAACCATATTTATAAGAGTTATATCATTCTACTTGTGAATAGGCCGTGTATATTTAAGTGCTCGTGTGAAAAGTGTAAATTTATGATTTAGAGTGTGTTTGAGACATATTTTTTTGAAAGAATGTATTATTGAATAATAGTTTGGTGAAGAATGTGTGGTTAAAAATGAAGAAAAAAATTATTGATGTGATAAAAAATATTATTTTATTGAAGAATGTGTGATTGAAAATGAGTAGAAGAATGAGAATGAAAAAAATAATGTGTACCAAACAGGGCCTTGGTAGTAGGAACTAATTATAGAAAAACGTGAAAAGTTAATTTTTTTTTCGAAAAATATATAATTAAAAATGAGTATCAAATAATTACTTTGAATCAATGTTCATCTTAAAGGCGTTGAAACATAACATGTAACCCTTGAACCACATGTGCATTTTTTAATGCAGTGGTACCATAAACATCAAATCAATTCAGCACGGACAAATTTAAGTGCTTAGATCCATAACTTTTCAAGTGTGTGAATTATTTTTGAATATGAAATTTTAAAAAAGTTCAAACCAAAAAGGTAATATGTATCATACAAAGCAACAAATTAAACAGGAATATTACTGTCTGGTAAAATGCATAAAACAAATAAAAAAAAAAGAGCTGTCAGCAATAGTTGGCTGCACGTGACCGTGACAAACGGAAGAGGACATTGATGGTACACTAGGTGTGGAAGAGGAACACCATTTCTTTCCCTCCACTTCTTCTTCTTAACTCTGCAACCTCTATTCTGAGGAGCAAAGAAGTATAGAAAGAAAGAGGAGGTTTTTTCAAGAAGAAGAAGAGAATGAGAGAATATGCTTCTCTCATCAATGCTTTTATACTGCTAACTCTTTTGTTACACAATGTAAATGGTGAAGACCCTTATAGATTCTACACTTGGAAAATCACTTATGGTGACATTTATCCTCTGGGTGTCAAACAAAAGGTAGGTACTACTTATAATTTTCTTCTTTTAATGACCTGCACAATATACTGTTGTTCTGTTGCTGAAGATAAGAAATGGCGGTGCTGGTGCAGGGAATTTTGATAAATGGGCAGTTTCCGGGGCCACAGATTGACTGCGTCACCAATGATAACTTGATTATCAGTGTTTTCAACTCCTTGAATGAACCCTTTCTCCTTTCTTGGTAACCCATTTTCACTTGCTTTCTTTCCCGTGTTGCATTCCTTTCTAGTTAAACAAACCTTTTTTTTGCCATATTAACTGTAGAACGTTGCACAAATAATTGGGTTCCTTAATGTTTTTGTAAGTATTTAGATTTTGAGATTTAACCCAGATTTCAGAATATCAATGTCATTTGACAGATTAAAAAGGTTCTTCCTTCCTGGTATGAATTTTTTCTCAAGGACATCACCAAGAAGATTAGAAAGAGATGTAACTTTATGCCATTTTGAGCATGAAGGCAACGGATTTCTTCTAAAGAGCATGTTTGGCCAAGCCTAAAGAGAAGTAAATTACTTTTTCAGTAATACTTTTGAAGAAGTCGTTAAAACTATACTTTTCCCAAAAAAAAAAAAAAAAAGAAAAAAAAAAAAAGAATGGTTCACTCTTTTTAGTCTTTGCCAAAATGCTTTCTGTGGGCTCTAATGTTAGGGCACAAACATTAGGTGCTAGGAATTTCACTATGCAGTATGCACATGCTGGATCTCTGACATCCACCATGTATTGGGTTTTTATATTTGTCATTAAGCTTGTAATTACATTAATACATGTGAGATGCATGAAGTGGCAAGCTTATATATGGCCATATATAGTTAATGTATCATTTATTAATTTTTTTAATTATTTAGGAAATAAATAAATGCTTTTAGTGAGGTGAAATTCATAGCCATTGAATTCAATGTGCAATATATCAATGGCAGTCCATGATGCCATGGCACTTAAGAATTCATAGTTCTCTAAGCTTTGAAAGACGACACAATCGAATCTTTCTGGAAACAATAATCTAATTTGTTATCCAATAAATACATTTTCAACTTGTTTTCTCCAGTCAAAAGTGCCCGAAAGTTGTGCTCGTACACCATGAGGCATGACTTATTACTCCATGGAGTTGAGCTCGATTCTTATTGTATCATACAACAATGGCAAATCTATTAATTGTGTGAGGATGAGATTACAAACTTTAGTATCTTGTTGGGTTACAAATCTTGGACTATATTATAGAAAGTAGTATGCTGTTTGAATGAAGTTTAGTCATATGTTAAAGAACTAGTTCGGACATGAAAGTAGAACACCGGGGTATATACGCGTAGTTTCGTCATATGTAAACAATTAGATGCAAATCTGTGGAGCAAAGAGCATGGAAGGATGTTATAGTCAGTGTTTTAATCACGTTCAGGCCTCTGGCTATATGTAGTTGATGTTTAAATCACCATTGTTTTTCAGGAATGGCTTACAGCAGAGGAGGAACTCTTGGCAGGACGGAGTTTATGGTACCACCTGTCCGATTCCGCCAAGGAAAAACTTCACTTACGCCCTGCAAGCAAAAGACCAGATAGGCACCTATTTCTATTTTCCATCGCTTGCACTCCATAAGGCTGCCGGAGGGTATGGTAGCATCAAAATTTCGAGCCGTCCTCAAATTCCAGTGCCTTTCCCACCTCCTGCTGGGGATTATGCCATCCTCACTGGGGATTGGTTCAAGAGAAGCCAAAGGGTAAGCATATCGTGGAGCATTAAGTGCTTCTTCGGTATATCATATTGAGTAGCTTTTTTCTTATTCAGTGAATGTTTGATAAAACCTTGGAAAAATTTATTCAACTGGTCAAATTTCATGGAACCCAAAACATTTATTAACTTTAAAGCCATACATTTTATCAATTTTTATTTAAAACTTCTATCAAAATCTTTGTGAAACAACCCCTTGATACTGTCCCTGTGCTCTCCAGTCCTTATCAAATGTGCCATAAAGATTTCACAGCAATTTGATCTCATTAATGTGCAATCTAATTTTATATGTGCTGCTTTTGTTCTTGCAGCAACTGAAGTATTTCTTGGATACCGGTCACAATCTTCCCTTCCCCGATGGCCTTCTAATCAATGGTCGTGGGTGGAATGGATACACATTTACAGTCGATCAAGGTATGTAGGTGACCCAACTTCTTAAACAAGCGATCTAATTAAACTTATTGTTATTATTATTATGTACTTGTAAACGTTTTCAGCCCGTTTTCTTTTCCTCATCCACTCGATTTTTTTCTGCAGGCAAAACCTACAGGTTCAGGATATCAAATGTTGGACTTACAACCTCCATTAACTTCAGATTCCAAGGGCACACAATGAAACTAGCTGAGGTAGAGGGATCTCACACGCTCCAGAACACGTACTCTTCCCTCGACATCCATTTAGGGCAGTCTTATTCAGTCTTGGTCACAGCCAACCAGCCTGCAAAGGACTATTATATTGTAGTTTCCTCTCGCTTCACCTCTAGAGTGCTTACCACCACTGCTGTTCTCCATTACAGTAACTCATTTACCAAAGTTTTGGGTCCTCCCCCTGGTGGACCCACGACTGACATTGCTTCGTCTTTGAACCAGGCCAGATCAATACGGTAATTGAAATTGCCTATAAATTCTTCAAATGGATGCTAATAAAGCAAGGATCATTTCTTATTTTATTTAATTTGTTGATTCTGAAATCAGTTGGAATCTGACAGCGAGTGGACCTAGACCTAATCCTCAAGGCTCGTACCACTATGGAATGATCAAGCCCTCTAGGACCATTGTTCTTGCTAACTCTGCTCCATATATAAATGGCAAACTGAGATATGCTGTCAACGGTGTATCATATGTTTCACCAGACACTCCCTTAAAGTTGGCTGACTACTTCAAGATTGGAGGAGTCTTCAGCGTTGGAAGCATCCCCGATGGACCTCCCGGGGGAAATGGAGGATATCTTGCAACCTCTGTTATGCATGCTGATTATCGATCTTTTGCTGAGATTGTGTTCCAAAATTGGGAGGATACTGTCCAGTCGTGGCACATTGATGGATATTCTTTCTTCGTTGTTGGGTGAGTAACTTTGCGGTTTTGGAGAAGTTGAGGTAATCATTCTTTCATGATGTTTAATTTTTGCTAATGCTGTGAATGAACAGAATGGATGGTGGACAGTGGACTCCTGCAAGTAGGCCAAGATACAATTTGAGAGACACAGTTGCCCGTTGTACCACTCAGGTTTGTGGAAATGGCTTTACATGTTAATACCAGACTTGCCAAAAGGCAATACAAACCTAGGTTGTTATGTTTTTCTTTTACTAAGAAAGTTTTTTCTAATTAAAGGTGTACCCGAAATCTTGGACTGCAATATACATAGCTCTGGACAATGTGGGAATTTGGAACATAAGATCTGAGAACTGGGCAAGGCAGTACTTGGGTCAGCAATTCTACCTGAGGGTTTATACCCCATCAACTTCATGGAGGGACGAATATCCTATTCCAAGGAATGCTCTCCTTTGTGGTCGAGCTAGTGGGCACCACACTAGACCCCTCTGATGGCCTGAAATCTGTCACGAGAGAGTGACCGGATTCACAGGGAGGGGAATGCACAAGGATTACTTTAGTAGCTCAACTCGAGCTACGAGTCATAGTGAGTAATTAAAGTGTGCATCACTTGCATCAATTTTCTGAATTGATTTTGTTTGAATTATTGGAATAATTTGATGATTAGTTTAGTAAACCAGTCCTGATGTTAGACGGCCAACACACGGACCAAATTGTTAAGTCTATTTACTAGGAAATATAACAGTGTTTTTATCACGCTTTTATTATTTCCCCTTCAGTTCAATGTTCAAAACTTAAAACCATTAGAAAACTGAAAACAATTATGAGGTCATAGACGACTAATTATTATGAGATTCTTAAACATAATTTTTTGCAACTGTAACAATACTTAAATATTTAAATAAATAACATATTAATTTAACCCAAAACTTTGTAAAATTCGAAAGAAAGAACCTGCATAGGAAATTTAAACCTCTAAGGTTTAGAGCAAACACAACTTTTTCAGCTTTTACTTATTTTCCATAGGGAATCCCATTACCAGGAGACCGAGAATTGAACCGAATATGGAAGTTAATGTACAGGACATAGAATCAGCAAACATGAGATAAATTACATTGGAATTATGTACAAAGAGCTCTGGAAAATGGTTTACAAAATAACATATTGGCTTCAAAACATGTTCCGATGAAATTTTACAGATATAATGTCTGGCATTATCATCGCAAGAAATGTTACAATCGCCACAACATACAACTGGAGGACATAATACCAGATGATCAATATCAGTGGCTAGAAACTAGTTATATTCTTAGCGAAGAACATGCTGCCTTGTAGAGATGCCACTGTCAAAACAAACAATCTAGATGCAACAATGTATTTTTACAGTGACACCATCAATCTTCATGCAGATTCACTTATTGTTGAGTTAAAAAAGGTTAGCACATTCTTTTGAAATTTGGGTCTTTGCCATTCATTTATCGAGATGAGTACTACATAAATTGATATATAAATTACCTGCAGAATTAGCAATGGAGAAATTTATGAGTTAATGGCTAAATGGTCGAGAGATGAGCTGTTGAAGTTTTCCCATGTCGCCTTCTTCTTCTTCAGCCTTACAACAAGCTGTAATTGAAAGATGATTATGCCTGACAAATTGATGGGAAAACTCTATTTATCTATTGCAAAGCTTTTCAGCTTGATTTCTTCGTCAGTTTTAACTGGCAAATTGGAAGATACGTACATAGTAACAACAATGCCAACACGAGTACCTAATTTCATATCTTTTCGTGAGAGAGAGAGAGCTATCAATTCTAACTGCTTTGTTGGAAACAAAGAAGATACCGAATTGTTCGATACCACCTTGTTGTGAATTATACGAAGGATTATATGGCACAATATAAAGTAATTGATGATAATAACAAACTAATTTGTAGAGAAAAAGAGAATTTACTATAATATGGAGAAAGAATACAATGATTTTGTATTTATAATTTGTCTAATTTAATCTAAAACATAATGAAGAGCCAAATATATATAAGGACGTCCAAAACCTTAGTCTTGGTGTTGTAGAAAGAATAGAATGCTGAAAACGAGTGTAAAAAACGAAAATGGGCTTAGGTAGATGAATAAGGTGCTCGAGCACCGGGTACCAACTTCACTTCTTTGGCTTTAGTTGAGTGTCAGCGAGCATAATTGCGTCGAAAAATTCTCCATAGTCCATATCTTGATCTCTTCAAGTCCAACATAAATTACAACTTCCAATTGGGGTTTCAAATAAAATTTCAACTAGAATTTGTCAAATAGATTTTGAATAGAATTCCAAATAATCTTTCAAATAAGATTCGGGTTACACCCAAATTTTAACATGTTTAATGAACTCATAACAGCAAGTAAAACAAAAAACAACACACTACTATGTATTCACTCACAAAAATATTCTTTCATTACTCCTATGCGTAAATGAGAAATCCAAGTTCAAGTCCTTTAAGATTTGAGGTGTCAGCAGTACAAGGGTCTAATCGACCATAGTAATTGAATACAATCTTGGGATAATTGCAGCAAAAGTTTCAAACCTTTGAAACATTAGCAGAGTTTTTCCAAACCTTTAATTTACTGCAGCTATGACTTCTAATCTTTCTAAACGTTGGAGGTAAGGTCCTTTTGGACAGTTTTCATCAATTTCTCCGTCAATTAACCACCCAAATAAAAAATTGACCACTTCTACCAAAATAAGGAGATGACAAAATGATAATTTACTATTTTTCCCATAAAATAATTAAAAAGTTAAATAAATAAAAAAAAGAAAAAGGAAAATGTATCTTCTTCACCCCCACCCCCGCAAAAGCCCAACTCCTCAACCTAAAACCAGAAATAATTGTCATTCAAATAGAGCATGTGCTTCCAGCTTCATTAGAATCACACACACACACACACACATATATATATATATATATATATATCACGTGCCTTCATCCTATACATTTCTTTTGCTGAAATGAAGAAAATTATCGAGGAGGCAGTGTTAATTAGGTATGACACTGTACATATATTATCTCTCAACAACTTTATGAAGTAAAACAGTTAAATTCACCATAAAAGTGATTATAAAGATCGGTGAAGAGCATTTTTCCCAGGGAGCTATTCAATTAGAATAATCTGTTGATGGTTACTATTAAACATTGACAGAAATTTACACATATGTTTAAAACATTACACATATAGTAAATGGTGACCGAGGTAACACCTGCAGTCACTGACCCAAGAATACTACCTCCTATGTCCAGGACTCAACGAATTGGCAACTTTAACTAGTGTGATCAAACGGACAAGTTTAGTGCTTCATTTCATAATTCATTTAGATTTTTGAAGAAAATTCATATATAGCGGGAAAATTTAAGACAAATAATATCATTCAAAAATTTTGGTAAACAAAGACATAATTGGCCTTATCAGACTATGTTTTAATCATCTTATGAATGTGAGAAATCAATTTTCATTGAATCAATTCTTACATATACATAATAATTATCCTTCAAGTATTCAGTAAATCGCAGAGTAAAAAAGCATGAAAACAAAGTTGCACGAGTTGAAAATAGGTATAAAAATGATGTACTTGATAAGATACATATTTTCTCGAAAAGTATATACATATGGATGTCTCTCTTAAAATTGATAGTGTAAATTTGGAGCTTACTGCAAGAGTTTCAAAATTAGGTGGGATAACAATCCACGTTCTTCCTTCACATGGGTATATCAAAAGCAAGATATCATGAAATCTCCATAAACTCAATTATCTCTTTAAGCTCATGTAGAGAAATGGCACAATGATGAGCTGTTGAACCTGATTGTATTCTTGGGCTGATCTGTTGGTTTGCTTGTCGGACTGTTGTTATTGTGCTGGACTGTTATTTTCGGATTACTTGGTGGCTTCTGTTCTGTTTGGTTATAAGCGAGTTTTTTTTACCTTCATGCATTTTTACTTATAGCTGGATGGTTGAGATGTCAACAAGTGTCACCCCAATGACTGTTGGATGGAGACCTTCTGGAGACTTCTCATATACTAGAGTTTGAGTTTGAGTTGGTTGATCATTCTCTTGAACTCTTTCTTGCCGTCTTTGTTCTGCACTCTAAATTGGAAGCCTTCTTTATCTTTTTTGTATAGTCATTGTATATATATTGAGTGATTTGTAAATGGCTAGTACTATATCCTTGAGTGGTTTGTTGTTTCGATCAGTTTGAGGGTTTCTTTTTATTTGATGTAATCTTGGGTAATTCGTCTGAGTGCCTGGTGTAATCCTTGAATAGAGTTTGATTCTTCACAATATAGTGATTTCTTTCGGTTGGCGGAAGCTCAAAAGGGGATTAGGAACATTGTTCAGAAACTTTTGCCTTAGGACGAAAAATCTCGTGTTCCTTATCTTTTTTCTTGTTGTTTTTGCACATTTACTTTATATTCTTTTGATTGAAAGTAACTGATTCCTTGAACTTCATCGTTACAGTGGTATTAGAGCGTTCATACGGTAGTTCTTGGCTTCGATCTGTGCAGATCTTAAAGTTTAACTTCCGATTCAGTGTGCTTTCTTTATTTCCTGAAACTCTAATAAATGGATTTAGTGAGTTCATTCCAGTTTTACATCTGATTGTACAAATTTGTTGCTCATTCCTTAAGTTGTCTTGCAAAACGCTTTTTAAACTTGGGTCTAAGACTCTTCTAAGCAATTCCTTTATCCAGAAACCTTAAGAGTCGTCTGCAATCTGAGGGTTGTATTGATTTCGAGTCAAGGACATTGATATAAAACTTCTGCAAGTGTTCTTTAATATTGTATATTACAAACTGTGATAATTTGTACTAGTTCTTGTGTTTTTTAGAGTAGTGTTTGTGACTGTCTTGCATGGAATTAACTTTGTGAAATCCTGAACTTGTATATACAACTCTGCAGTTTCTGTATAATTCAGTTTTGTCAGTTGAGTGTTGATACTTGAACTTTTAGTTGTATATACTTTTGGAGTACTCTGACTAATCTGTATACATTAGTTTTTCCATTCAAATTTATTATTATGCTTTCTTCAAAATTTAAATTGGAAGTTTTTAATGATAAATGAGACTTTAGTAGCCAGAAAATGAAAGCTCTTTTACTTCAACAAAAGTGTGCTAAAGCCATTGATGAATCTTGGCCTACTGATTTAGAATCTAGTAAAGTTAAAGAACAAGATGAAATTGCATGAAGTTCTAATTTTCTACACTTATCTGATAATGTGCTTAGAG